AAATCTCTCTCTCTCTCTCTCTCTCTCCATCAAAGTGTAGGGGGTCTCTCTCTCACCCCCACTCAGACCCACGGTTCTAATCAAGGGGCTCACCCTTGGGCTTTGAGGGAAACAAGCTCATTATCACCATGGTCGTCATCCACAGGGTACAGGGAGTTGAATCTCAAAGTCTTTATCTCCTGCTCCATGGAGGTTTCCTTCCACGGGAGTTTCAGGGGGTCCCCTAAGCAGGATTCCACCCCTCCTTTCCCGGGTCAAGAGGGTTCTGGGGGTTTTGGACTCAGTTCTTACCCCAGAAATGTTTCCAGCTGGTTTCTCATCTCTCTGCTCGTTCAGCTCTCTCTTCGCAAGATGTCCTTGTGTCTCTCGGTCTGGCTCCATGTCATATTTGCTGCTCGCCAGGCAGCTCCTCTTGTTCTCTGCAATTCTCTGATTTTTGCTTCACAGTCTTTTGGCCAGAACCCAGTCTCAGCTCCAGCTGCAGCTCACTATTCCGTGCTACCTCTGCTGCTGTTTTTCCCACCACCACTGCGAGTGTGGAAGAAAATGCCACAGGCCAGGGGCCTCCCCAATTTTTGGTGTTTCTCTCGACCACCAGGCTCATTGAGGGGTCAGGGCCAGCTGCTGTGCCACACTTGGACCCTTGGCCAGGACCAGTGGGGAAGAGCCCCCGGTCTGCCTCTCTATCTCATGGCATCTCTCCAATTCCAGCTTTGCCAACAAGCTTATTTTCCGGCTTGTGTAATATGTCATTTACACAGAGGTGCATCAAGTTGTGACTGGCTCAGTGCCAAAAAACACCACCCCTGGAACTAGCTATTTTCCAGCTCTAGGGGGGGGCTCTTTTAAACCCCCCTCTGTCTCCAGTGTCCATCTCTCCCTCACCCTTTGGCCTTTGGTACTGCAGGCACTCAGCCTGAGCTGAGAATGAGGGGTCTGTGGGGGTGAATTTTGGCTTGGAGCTGGGAGGTGTCTCCGCTCTGTGTCCCGGGACAAGCCCTGCTGCACCTGTGGTGGTGGGGCTGTGCGTGGAGCGGGGAGGAAGGTGACGAGAGAGGCGTGGGCAGGATCTGGCCGTGAGTGCAGGGTCAGATTTTCATGGAGGGGCCGTGTCCTGGAGGGGTGGAGGCTTAAAAGGGAGTCAAGGTCCACAGCACAGCCCCATCATTGCAGGGACGTGGAGCTGGTGGGATCACACCATGGCCTGGGTCCCTCTCCTCCTCGTGGTGCTCGCCCACACCTCAGGTGCCATGGCCAGACTCACTGTGCCTGGATGGGGCCTTTGGGCACAGGGGTCCCATCCCTCGACCCAGCAACTGCGCCCCTGGGGCTTTGACTGACCCGTCTTCCCCTCTCTTTCCTCTCCGTTTTCAGGTTCCCTGGTCCAGGCAGCGCTGACTCAGCCGTCCTCATTGTCTCACAGGGTGGGAGACACCGTCAATATCCCGTGTTCTGGGAGCAGTGGCAGCTATGACTGGTTCCAGCAGAAGGTCCCGGGAAGTGCCCCCGTCACTGTGATCTATGAAAATGACAACAGACCCTTAGACATTCCTTTGCGATTCTCTGGATCCAAGTCCGGCTCCACGGGCACATTAACCATCACTGGGGTCCAACCCGAGGACGGGGCTGTCTATTACTGTGGTAGCCACGACAGCAGCAGTAGTGCTGGTGTATTTGGGGCCGGGACCATGTTGACCATCGCAGGTGAGTCGCCAATTTCTTCTTGGTCTTTCCTTCCTCGGTGTGAAATTGTGACATTTTGTTGATTTTTGGTGATTTGGGTTTTTTTCTCGGACTTGAGGCTGGGCTGGGGGTCTGTCGCCCATTTGGGGACAGGCACAAAACGCAGTGTTTTGGGCTGGGTCTTGTCCCTACGGACTCTGAGGACTCCAGCTCATGCCACGAGGGATTCCGGGGGTATATTCTGACATGAAAGATCTTAAAATTTGCCCAGGAAATATGTCTGGGGTCTCAGGAAGAGGAAAACTTCAGTTTAGGTCTTGAAAAGAGGCGATTTTTGTCTTTGTTAAAGAAATTTGTCAGCCTAAAATCTAAGTCCTCAACTCTTAGTCCTGAGGACTAAGTCTGTGAGAGAAAGGGGCTCCTCAGTGGGGTCCTGTGGCTGAGGGTGCAGGGGCTATGAAATGACAGCCGTGAACAGCTCGTCCCTGAGTTCTTAAATAAAAAACTTCAGGGGTATCCCAAAGAGCCCATAGTCCAGGTAAGTCATGTCAAAAATGGGGATTAATGCATTGAAAATGCTGCCAGGAATGTTATTTGTCTGTAATTTTAAAAAGAATCTGATAAAAAATCCCAATTTGAACCAAATTACTGGGGAATAAGATCAAAAAAACCCCTTCTTTGACCATTCTTAAGCAGAAATTTTTTAATGGTAGAGTCATCCTGGTTTTTGAGTAGTGATAGAAACAGAGAGATAGAAATAAAATGAGAGAGAGATAGAGACACTGTGCATTGGAGGAGGCAGCAGAACCACCTCAGAAAGACCAAAGATATTTTCTCCATCTTTTTTTGTGTGATTTTTCTTTGTGCTTTTTCTGAGACAAGTCTGAAATAGTCTGAAAGCAGAACTGGGCAGAAAACAGAGTTGTTTGCCTATGAAATTTTATTTTTTTTAAACAAATGGCCTTGCAGAAGGAAAGAAATAGGCTTGTGGCAAATAACTAGAGATTTAGCTATGCATATTATAAATAAAAATATGTAATATATATTGCATATAGGAAAGGCATAATTGCATAAATGTTTGTTATATGCGTTTTACAGAATTCTACACATATTCATATAATGATATGTACCACATATGTAAGTATATTGTATGCTTTATAGATGTGGTCTTTAATATACGTATATTATGTGTACTAGCTGTATATATCTGAAATATACGCTATGTATATGCACATATAGGTAGTGATAGAGTATATAAAACACATATACAAGAATATATGGGATGTATACATGCATTACACACATACTTTATAGGTGTGATCTTTAATATGAATATTCTGTGTATTAGCTGTATATATCTGTAATATATACTATGTATATGCCCACATATGTACAGGTAGTGTATATAAAACATATATAGAAGTCCATATGGGATGTATGTATATGTGTACATGCATTACACACACATATATGCACATATTTTACATATAAAGATTATATATATAAATTATAAATAAATAAATATCTGGATGGATTTCCCAAATCTAAGGACATTGAAATTATAAGTGGTAAGGTCTTGGCTGTGGGGGAAGCAGGGTTTGTGGGTAGTGCCAGCTGCATAGGCAGGGGCTGTGGTGGGGCACAGGGCCCTCTCTGACCCCACACCTCTCTCTTCCCTCGCAGGCCTGCCCAAAACCCCTCCCACCCCCCACCTCTTCCCACTATCCCCCGAGGAGTTCCGGAAGAGGAACACAGCCACCCTGGTGTGTCTGATATACGACCCCAACCCCAACCGTCTGGCAGTGGAATGGGAGGCTGATGGCACCATCCTGACAAATAACGTGCACACCAGACAGTCCGTGTGGCAGAGAGACAGGGAGTACCTAACCAGCAGCTACCTGTCACTGGATGCCAGTGAGTGGCAAAGTTACAACTCAGTCTCCTGCAAGGTCAAGCACGAGGCTGGCAATGTGGAGAAGACAGTGAACAGATCCTAGTGCCCCTAAACCCACAGGAACCTCCTCGCCCCCACCGGCCCTTTGCTGGCTCCCTCCCTCCTCCCCACTTCTGGGGACAGCGGCTCCCCCCAGCCACACACCTCGCTCCCCATGTACCCCTGTCCCCTGCTCCTGTTCCCCCACTCTGAGTGTCAGACAAATAAAAACTGACACTGAACTAGTGCTGGCTCAGCATCCCTGTCTCTGTGTCCTTCCAACGCGCCCGCTCGCCACACACGGGCTGGTGTCAGCCCAGTGCCACCAGTAT